GTCAGTCACCATACTTCTCCCAGCAGGGTTTAGTCTTGGGTCTATGTGCCTTTCTACTCTCTCTAGCATTGGAGACTCCCTCCAGCTGCAGTGGCCCTTGGTGCCATATTCCTACCTTCTTCCCAAACCTCTGGGGAAATGACATTTATAATCCCCATGTAGAGTCATAGTGGCAAGCTAGGACTGGAGAGCTGTCCCCAAATGGTTTGCAAGATGGAAGAGCAAGATGGCAACTCTACACTGATATCTCTTTAATGGGCTGTGTGGCTAGGTACAAGTGGTTGAATCTCTCTGAGCTTTGGTTTCCACACCCTTCAAATGAGGAAAATTATATCTATGATGTAGATCCAAAGAGAGTGCACATAAGGAGCCCTGCCCAGTGTTTGACATGAAGTGCATGCTCAGGAAATGTAGGCAGTTATTCTTAGGTACGGAGGGGGTTGTGAGAGATAATGTGAACCAGGAGCCAGATACCAGCCTGGAAGTCCAGAGTTTAGAGCATTTCTTCCTAGCTGTGGTATGAACCTTATATCTATAGTTAACAGTCATTCAATAAACATCAGTTATTTGGATGTGTGATGAGTGCTTTTATCATCATCGATAAGCCAGTACAACCTAGAGTTCAGATTCTAGAATCAGAGAAACAGGGTTCAAATCCCATTTTGGTCTCTAGATACTGGAATTTTCAAAGTTTTATTTTCTTCACATAGAGAAGAGAATACTAACAGAAGCATGTTATATGTAAAGACTGTGGGATAGTGTTTGGCATATAGCAAGCCCTTGATGAATGTGCAGTGTGGTGCAATGGGGAAGACTCCAGATTTAAGATCAGAAGGCCTGGGTTTAATCTACTTCCATTTCCTATTTACTGTCTTACCTTGGGCAAATCACTTCACCCTGGAGTCTCTCATTTCCCAATCTAAGGAAAAGGGATAATGTCACTTGGTTTTAGATTGCCATAAAGAAAAATCTTAATGCTTGCCATAAGAAGGATGCTCCACATTTGTATGGTGATGAATGAATGAATGATGTGGAAGATTTTAGGATTTGGATTCAGAGAACTTGGATTGACATCCCAGGTTTATCACTTACTTTCAGTGTGGTTTGGGACAAATGACTTCACCTCATTGAAGTAAAAGGAAGGAAAAATCCTTCCTCTGCCCTCAAGGTCTTCCAGCTGAACTAAGGATTAAATTTACAAGAGACGTTTTAGGAGGAGGAAAAACCAAACTCTTATTACATGTGCAGGGAGGCCCAATAATGAATTTGAGACCTAAAGAAATAACCGAGGCAGGCAGTTTTTATATTTTTTAGACAAGGAGACAATGCATTTGTGAGGAATTGCTAGGAAAAAAAAAACTGAGGGACACCTGGGTCGCTCGTCAGTTGAGTGTCCGACTTTGGCTCAGGTCATAATCTTGTGGTTTGTGAGTTTGAGCCCCACATCAGGTTCCGTGCTCACAGCTTGGAGCCTGGAGCCTGCTTCGGATTATGTGTCTTCCTCTCTCTCTGCCCCTCCACCACTTACGGTCTGTCTCTCTGTCTCTCAAAAATGAATAAATGTTAAAAAAGAGAAAAGGCAAATTTGATAACGAACTCTCATCAGAATCTGGGCTGTGCTAGTAAATTGGTAATAAGTAACAAAAGTTGTTTATATAGTCTTCTTGGCTCTAAATTTCACATCTCTGGTAGTAAGGATGTCTCTTTACCTCTATAAAGAGGGTACCTTTCACATGGGAGAAGTATTTCTTGCTTTCAGAGAGACTGAGGAGGGTCTGGGTGTTCTTCCTGCACTGTCTATCTTGTAAGTAACTTTTATTTTGAATAGTTAGTATGCCAAAGTAGTACATTTGGGGCAGCCTGCCTTTGGTCCCTACAGAACCTTGGGTTCTTTCCTTATAAAACAAGATAATAGCTACCCCCCAGCATTATTGCAGAATAGACCATTAATATTAAAATGCCTCGTAAACCATAGGCATCGTGCTCACTCTAGTTTAATATTACTTGGTACGGATCCCTAGGTGAGGAACTATGAGGGCTCCAAAGAGATGCAAAACCTTTGGGCCTAGCTCTAGAAGAACTGGGATAGATTTGGGGAAAGGAGGCACAAGGTAGGGACAGAACTACACAGAGTTCCACACATTCGTTGACTGCACACATATTTACAGAGTCCTAGGCATGCTATTATAGGTCTGTTGAAGGTTTTCAGTTAGGCCTGATGGAGAGCCTTGAAGGTCAGGGTAGGGCCCCTGGCTTGAGTGTTCTGTGATAGAGGTCTCAGAAAGCTTACGTACCATCTGTGCTGCTGAGTTCCTCTGTGGGGCAGGCCCCTGGCTCGCTGAGTCAATTTCCTCAGTCGCTCTCTGAGGAACAGTGAGCAGAGTCCATTATAGGGAGAGCATTGGAATCAGCCATTCAGTATGTTGCCCCTCCCCAAAGGTCAGTGGCCTATCTGGCCACTGTAACTGGTGGCCAGAAAAGACCTGCCGAGAATCCAATCTAATGGAGTGGCAAAGGCTCTAGCTGCTCTTCCCCAGGAGCGTGAGGGTGAGTTGCAAGGTGATTTCACTGCTGTCGCATTCTCCCTTTAGACACAGGCTGTCCTCGAGGGCAAAAATAGCACCTTCAGAGGCAGGAGAGTGTTGTGACATCATCCCCGGGTTCAGCCAGCAAACCCCTCTCCAGACAGCTGATCCCGCTTGCCCCTTGGAGACCAGAGCCAAGGTCCTAGGGGATAATTTTGGTGGCCCTGAGCCCCTTCAAGCCCACTGGCTCCAGTTCTGGGCTCTGTTTGTGAACAGAAATCCCCTAACTTGGCTTTTTACCTGGATGAAGAGGAGTGCGCTCAGCAGTCCTCTGTGGCTGGGTGCATGCCCATCTCCAGCTCCCCAGGGCTAGGCATAGCAGACCCGCAGGGGCCTACAGCCTCTCTGGACCAGAAGCACACAGGCTGGGCTGGAGACAGTGAGCATGGCACCCAGCCTGGACGCTGAACTGAGGGGGAAGACAGTCTGTAGTCCCTGGGTGGTGGGAGGGAGGAAGGAGGAGGGGGGGGGTTGTGGAGAGAATAGAGGAGTTTGTGCACAGTGTGTGTGTGTGTGTGTGTGTGTGTATGTGCATGCACACACTGCAGCTGAAGATGGCAGGAGTGGGAACTCCATAGTCTCTACTGATTAGAAGGGTTTTGAAATTGATAAATTACTTTGTATTGGGGCAAAATGATTTGACCAGATTTCAAATGTCTCAGAGAAGGGAAGCTTCTCTTGGGCCAACTATTGATTGCTTTTAATAGAGCTGGGACTTTCTCACTTAAAAACAACAAAATAAACATCTAAGAGAAGACACTAATTTACCTCTCTCTCCCTTCCCTTTCTCCCTTTTCTCTAAGAACAGAAAGGGACTCAGAGACCCAAACAAGGCTGGGGTGAGGCTGGAGTGAGGCCAGGGCAGTGCTGATGTTAGAGCCATGGAGTCCCTCTGGGGCATATTGATGGTGGGGGCTCAGGAGAACAGGGGACCCTGGGTTGGTCCCATTCTTCACAGATCGATTTTTGCCAACAGACACTGTCGGAGCCTTTGATAAATCACTCATCCAAGTGATGAATGCCCTGAGGCTGGGTGGGGTGGGGGAAAGGATGCTGGTCTGGGAGGCAGTTCTAGAGAAGGACAAGGGTGAGGATGAAGGGCTGGTGGGCAGAGGGAGCCGACTGATGTAAAGCTGAGTTCTAGAAATTCTGTAAGATAACCCCAGATCACTAATCCTGGCTTTATCTCTCAATAAGATTTGACCATAATCATTAACTCAACAGTGCTTCAAAATTCATTTTCAGTCTGTCTCTCGTCTGTCTCTTGCTGTCTGTCTCACTGTCTTCCTCTTTATCTGGCTTCCAAATGGACTCTGATGGTTTTCTCCCAGCAGAGGATTCCCTTGGGTCTGCTGGAAAATGGAAAGGAGTGTGGGGAAAGCTAGTAGCAAGTAGGTGGTTGGCAGTGGGCAGTAGGAGGAGAAGGGTGAGGCGGCCTCTTGAAATAGGTAGAGGTGAAGGGCCTGAGGCCAGTAGAGAGAGGGAGGGGCTGGGGGAATGAAGATATGAAATTGCAGAGCAGCTCTTGCCAGAGAGAAGCCAGTTTCCAGGTGTCTTATTTCTCATGGAGGGAAAGATCAGTCATGTGGCTTTCCCATCCCCCTCCCCAAAACAGTGAGAGCAGATACCTGCCTTGACAGGGCTGAGGAATAATAGCAAGAAGTGTGGAGAGGAAGAGAGAGCAACCCAGAGCCACAGAACTGATCTCTCTTATCATGGCCAGAGACTGACTGCCTGTGGACAGCCCAGCTCGCAGACCATGAGTCTAAATTCATTCTGGGTGACTTTGGATATGTGACTTATCCTCACTCACCCTCTAGTTCCTCACCTATAAAGTGGGATAATAGAACAGATTTTCATGAGGTTTATATTAATTAAGATGACATGTACAAAGTGCTTAGAACATGACCAGGCCCATAGTGAGCATTTAGTAAATGTTAGCTGGGAATGTTATTCTTCTCCCCAGGAGCATCATGGCAGAGTCTGAAGTCATGAAAACTCAAAATGTGTCAGCCACACTGGAGTCAAAAGAGGGAGGGAACTTCTGGCTTTTCATGAGGGTGGAGTAGTCTCCCCAAATTACTGATCCACAGGCCAAGCCTGTTCTACACCCTGTCCCCACCGCCAGTGCCAATGCGCCATGGGCTGAGTCTCCACCACTCTGTAAAGGCACCTGAAACTTAGTCCTTGAAATGCCTGCCAGGCTCCTAGCTAGCCCACCGGCTTCTGCCCGCACGGGTTGGGCTTGGCTCCTCCTTACCCCACCATCCAGGCTGCTGCTCCCAGGCTCTGAGCCCTGGCTCTGTCCGTGGTGCTAACCCACATCACAGCCCAGACCGGCCTGCAATGCACAACTTCCCACCTCAACCATCCGCTCTTGTCCCCCAACTTTAACATCTCTGATGATCTCCCCAGCCACCAGGAATGAATTCTGAGCTCACGTTCTGGACCGCTGCCAGGAAGAAGGAAGCGGCGTTAGTATAAAGAATCACACAAAAGGCCGCAGGTAATTATGTCTCTTTTAAGCTGCTAACAGGATTGGCCGTTTGATAAATGGGAGGATTTGAGGCTGTTTTGTCACTGACAAGCTGTTGTAAGATCATATTGGAAGCTGAAGACAGTTTATCTTCATGTGTGTGGTGGAGAGACGGGAATTCTCCGTGGATTTTACACCCTCTTCAAATTAATGTGATTTCCTAGGCCGTCCTGTGCACGGGAGTGAGTGATCTTTATGACTCACTCCATGATTAGATTACCTGGCTCAGCAGCCACCTCCAGCCCCTCTGAGTGCCCTCTCCTTCCTTAGGCCCCTCCCTGCTCCCATCGCTCTGGCTCTTCCTCCACCTCCTGCTCCCCTCTGACCTCCTCCAGCCCTGGTCTCAGGGCCAGCTGCTGAGCAAGCCCACAGCTCAATTACTGCTGGCTAGCCCAAGAGGCAGAGGGATCTGGTTTCTTCCATTTCTCTGGAGGGAGCAGAAGAGCAGGAGGTGGATGGGAAGAAGAGGAAGCAATAGGAGAGGGAGGGAGGAAGCAGAGGAGGAGAGAATGAAGGAGGCAAAGAGGGAGTCTAACCAGAAAAACAGAGCCAAGCCAAGGTAGAGAAAAGAAAGACAAGGGTGGGGGGTGGGGGGAAACAATAGCAAAGAGAGAGGAAAGGTTTTTTCTTTCATTTTAAGAATGCTGTTCTCCACAAGAACTAAAGTAGCCTACTTCCCTGAACTTCTGAATTAAGCAGGTCCCCTGGGTACTTTCTTTGATAGCTCTGTTTTATCATCTTCAGAGCACTTACCACTATTATTTTGTTTATTTATTTATTTGCTTTTAAAATAGTTGTCCTCACCCTTAAACTGGAAGACCCACAGGGCCAGAGTCAGGGCTGCTATGTTCTTCCCAGGACCCCAGCACCTAGCACCTAGCAGGTCTTTGCTAAATATTTATTGACTATGTGAGGTGGAAGGTCTGAAGGGCCAGGGCTGGCTTGCCCTCCTGGCAGGGACTTAGGATGGGAATGCCAAGGATATTGTCACTGGTTGGATTTGCTGAGACATTTCTGGAGAAGAGAAAGCTTAGTTAGTTCTTTGGACAGAATTATGTATCCTCCAAAAGAAAGCTTTTCAAAATGTGGTCCGCGATTCACCACATCAGAGCCCCCTGGCAACCTGCATCTTCACAAGTACACCACGTGATCTGATGCAGTGGGTCTGAAGTTCACACTTTGAGAAACACTATTCTGGGGAATGGGTGAACTGAAGGCTCCTGCTCCAGGGAGGTCACAGCAGAGCCAGGGATCTAGGCTGCTGCTGCTGCTGCTGTGTGAGTGAGTGTGAGTGAGTGAGTGTGTGTGTGTGGTTGTTTGAATACCTGCAAGGAGAATGAGGAAGCTAAAATCCATTATTTCCAGGCAGTTGCCACCTCATTCTACATACACACCGGAAGCTACTTCTTTGAGAGGCCCCAAGTTCAAAGGAAAAGCTCTCTTTCCTTTGGGGAGCCTTCTGGGGACAGTTCCCCCACCTGACCCAGGACACTAGAGGAAGAGGAAGACAGCAACAGATGTGAGGAGGAGAAGGACCCCTCCCTGCCCAGTGCTCAGGTGCCTCTGCTCCCTAACCAATTGATGTTTCTGCAGCTGGCAAGTCATGCTTCATTTCCCAAACAAGCTGAGCAGACCACCCTCAAGCTCCAGGCCAGGCTCTCTGCCTCTTCAGGGGACCTCCCCTAGATTTGTCAGCAATGTATGCTTCAGGATTGATTGACTGCTACCTCAGCACATGCCCCACCCAACACACATCCCAAATGTCACAGCCCCATCATTCTAGACGTGGGTATGGCCCACACAGGACACCTGAAATACAACAGTGGGTTCTTGGAGGTGAGGGACAGTGTGCCTGAGCAGTGGGACAGCCTGGGAATATTCATGCTGGACCTCTGCCTGGGCCTGAGAACAGGGTGAGAAGTATAGAAGATAAGAGCCAACCAGTTTTAAAAGATAGCTCCCTCTATGCCACTTCTGCCTAGTAAAATCGAGGCATGTAGATGGAACTAAGACCACCTTCCAATCATTCTATGCTTCAACAACTCTGACCTTACTTCATGCCTCAAGCACTCCAGGTTCTCTTCTGCTTCAGTAGCACCCTTACTCATGGTGTTCCCTCTGCCTGCAATGCTCTTTTATGCTCTTCCATCCCTTTCATCTGATAACTCCTACCTCTCTTCCTTGCTGGACCTTTCTGGATGCCCTGGCTTTGTGCTACCACAGCTCTACATCCTCTACCACTTGCAACACTCAGCTCTCTTGTCACTATGTATTCAGTGCCTTTCTTCCCCATGAGACTGAACTCCCTGGCAGGAGGGACCATACCTGTGTGTCTTGTCCACTACCATATCCCTGGCACCACCACTCATAGTACCTGACATGCAGTGGACACTCAGCTAGGAAGACTGGGGCTTGAACAGAGCAATTTGTTCAATAAATGGCTCTTGAGCATCAGTTATGTGTCAAGCACCATGGTAGACCCTGAAGATGCACCAGTAGGCAAAAAGGCACTCTTCCTCCTCTCACAGAGGCTGCATCTGATGGAGAGATAGATCGTTGTCAATAATCATACAAATACTGTATGCAACTGTGACAGGTGCTTTGTAGAGGTCCATGGTGGTAACAAGGGTACATAAAAGTGGGATTAAGTTGGGTTAAGTAGGTCAGGGAAATTTTCTGAGAAGGTGATACTTCTCTGAGATGGAGATTGGTGTGTAGAGCAACAGTAGAGGAAAGAGTGTTCTGGAGAGACAGAAAAGCATGTGTGAAGGCCCCGTGGTAGGAAGGAGCATGCATTCTACAAAGAACTAAAAATCCAGAAGGTCTGGAGTCGTGGGGTGAAGGGGGAGGCTGGGCAGCAGCAGAAGCCAAATATGCAGGGCCTTGTCAGGTGAAGTAAGGAATTTATTCCTTCATCTCAGAGTAAAGGGTTTAAACACTGAAGAGTTTAAACAGCAGGGGGGCAGGCACAGGAAGCAGTGATATAATCAGAATTGCATTTTGAAAAGGTCACTCAGGCTTCAGTAGGAAGGGAGGAGTCTGAGTGAAGTAAAAGGACTAATAAGTAATGCATTGCAGCCATCTGGGCCTGGACCACAAAAGTGCTACTGGAGATCAAGAGTAGTAGATACTTTTTGAAAGACAGTTTTCAAGCAACGCCACAGGTTGGTGGCAAAACCAGAACTTAGTACCCATTGCCAGCCTTTGCACTTTCCTGTAGCCATTGGCCTCTGTCTGGGCTGTGCAGTGGGCTACCATAAGGAAGGGTTCCCAGGCGTCCCCCCAGAAGTATGCTTTGCTTTCTGGCACCCCAGGTTCCCTTATTCTGTACTGTGTTTCTCTGGTGGTGCCCGTAAGTGTCCTCTTTCCAGCTGGAAGGCTCGGACTGGATATCCATCTAAGAAGTGGGGTTCTCTCCTAGCCCCAGGTGCTTTGCATTCTGGGAATCGTAGTTCTGCAGCAGGAATGCTGGGTCTGCTCCTGACTGTGGGTCTGGCAGGCAGCCTGGTTGCCATGGCAGCAGCTGGGCTGGAGCCACCGAACCATTTCATCCACAGCTCTGCTAGCTCTGAGAGCCTCCCAGCAAGAAGGCTTGGGCTCTGGGGAGGAGGAGGAGGGAGGAAAGGAAAAGAAGAGAAGGGAGGGAGGGGAAGACCTCATGGACCTTCCCCAGAGGCCTGGGCTAAGCCGCACCCAGCTCTAGGGCTTGTGGACTGAATTGGAGAGAAGTCACCAGCTCATCCTCAGAGCAGGACTCCCCAGCCACCGGGAGCCAGTTCTACTGCTCAGTTCTTGTCAGTCAATCAGACCCTGTAATTCAGCTCTGTGAATGCAGAAGTCTGCAGCAGACACAGAGAAAGGAGGGAGCAGCTCCCTCCCCAGGGAAACATGGAGCCTGGGTAGAAAGGCAGGAAAGTCCAAAATAATTACCTAGGAAGGAAAATGTCCTACCCATTTTTCTCCACAATAACTCCAGAATCCATTCCCTTCTCTCTGCCCCTTGGCCACAGTCCTGATTCTTTCTATCCCCCCAAGAGAAGGCTTTCTAAGACACAAATCTAGTCCTGTCACACCCCTGCTTAAAATTCTTCAATGGCTCCCCTTTGCCCACGACTGGATCAAGTCCAAGCTCTCTAGTAGGACCATTCATGGCCTCACAAATGCTGGCCCAAGGCTCACTGTCCAGTTTCTCCTCCTGCCTCCCTTCTGCTCCAGTCATATGCAAGTTTTCTGCTTCCACTTTCATAGCCTCTGCCTTTGCACATGCTCTCCTGCCTAAAATACCCTTCCCTCCCTCTTCCAGTTTCTGAGAAGACCCAATCCAGCCGAGACACCTCCTCCTCTGTGAAGTGTTCCAAAATCTTTCTCTACCAAGGGAAGAATTAATGGCCTGGTGCTCTGAGCTCCCAGAGCACTTTGTACAACCCTCTCAAGCACTTATCACCCATGTTGTGATTATTATCTCTGTAGCTGGCTTTCTCTCTCTTTCTCCTGCATCTGAGCCATCCCGGGTGTCCCAGTGCCCAGCACAGTGTCTGGCACAAGGTAGGCAGTCAAATGGTGAATGAGATTGACTGCACCAAAGGAAGGCTATTAGGTCCTTTGCTGCTCTCCCACTCTCCCCCTTCCTGGGCTCTCTGCCTTTCCTGGGCCGCTTCCCCCACCTTCTCCTCCCACGGGGCTGCACACCTCACACACAGCAGCAGACTGGCAGGCCCTATTGAGCGGTGCCTTCTATTCTGAGCAAAGGTGGCATGGGCACCTGCATATGGAGGCTGCAAGCCTCCCCATGTCACTAGGAATGTGTATCAAGTGACACCTAGGTCTCCAGAGAGGAGGTACCCGTGTCTTAAATGGAGTCATGATTTATGGACCCAGCTACTGGAGCTGAAAAAAACAATTAGGCTTCCCTGCTTCTCCACCTGGCGGCAAGATAATTCCAGGGAAGTCCTTCCTCCTGGGCAGAGACTCCCTCTGCCTGGGCCTTGGCCCTGAGGCTTCTCCATCTGACTCCCCACCCCACCTCTGTCACCTTACTTCTTGGTCAGTCCAAACTTCCTGGGCCTGCATTCCCTGCATTAAAATCCTGACCCTACCATTTAACATCTGGGAAGCCTTTTCCAGTTTCCACCCTCTCTCTTATTTCTCCATCATAATAAGAGGATAAAAATAACCTGCCTAGATCATTCATTCGTGTATTCACCCTTCATCTGTCTCCCCGTCCGTCCGTCCATCCATCCATCCATCCATCCATTTATATATTCCCATGCGTGAAGATTTATTAAGTGCCTACTGTGGGTCAAATACTGAGTTAATCAGTAAGGATGTAGAAGTGAATCAGAAAGACATGATCTCTGGGGAGCCTGAGTGGCTCAGTCAGTTAAGCATCTGACTTCAGCTCAGGTCATGATCTCACGGTTTGTGAGTTTAGACCCCGCATCGGGCTCTGGGCTGACAGCTCAGGGCCTGGAGCCTGCTTCAGATTCCGTTCCCCTCTCCCTGCCCCTCCCCCACTCATACTCTGTCTCTCTCTGTCTTAAAAATAAATAAACATTAAAAAAGAAAGAAAGAAAGACATGAGCTCTGCTCTCAAGGAGCTTATAACCTATATGGGGAAGACCAACTGCAAAGTGTTCCAGGGTGGAAATGCAGACTGTGAAGTAAAGTTCAGGCCTGAGCTGGGACCTCAGTATTTATTTCCTCAGTGACTGTGCACCTGTGCTATGGCAGGCATAGAGGATAAGCACAAATACAGACAGGCTCTCCTTTCATTATTCTCAGTGCAGAGACAGACACAGCACAGAGAGGACTCAGCCCTGCTGTCTACTACAACTGGGAAAGGGCCAGGAAAGAAAAGTTTGTGAATTCTGCAGCTGAAAACAGGGGATCCATACTCCCCAAGGCCCTAGGGAGGAGTCCCTGAGATTGGAGGCGGGGTCCTTTCACTGGTAAAGGTGATAATGAATGGGCAGAGCCTTGGTAGCACTAACTGGGTTGAGGCAAGAAGCAGCCTTGCCTAGGCAGGGTGCGGGAATGATGGAGCAAGGGACTCTCACAGAGGAGGAGTGCTGGCTACTTCAGGCCTGGAAAGGTTGGCAGATTCCCAGAGCACATAGAGGCTACTGTCAGCCCACGCTCTGCTATTCAGCTAGACCTTTATTTTCTCTCTCCTGGGAGAGCCTGGTCCAGGTGTCAGTGCAGTGAGGGTGTGGGGAGGCCAGAGGCCTACATGGTGCTGGCTCAAGCTATTATCCATGCTGTAGCCCCTAATGCCAAGCCCACAGCTCTGAACAGCTTCTCACGCCCTCCCTCTTCTCCTCTGGCTGCTGGAAATCAGTGCTTTGACTCAAAGGGATACAGGCTCCAGGGCTTGGAGGAAGATAGAAAGTAAGAGGGAATGAGGAAGAGGGTGGGTAAGTGGAGATTCATCAGTGACCCTCAGGGTTTCCACAGAAAAAACACCAGCTTGCACTGTGAGTCTGGGTCTCAGTTCCTCCATCTATAAAATGGTGGGGTTGGGTTCACTGTAAGGGCTCTTTGGCTTCTGCTCCTGAGAAATGGTGGAGGGTGTCTCTGCAGAGAAAGGCTGT